TCGCCATAATGTTTGAATTTACTGGTAAAATGAAACTATTACAAACGCGAACAGTCACACGTACGGGCGTAATCACGGTGTAATACTAATTGCTACAAACACAAAGTAACTATGACCATAGATTAAATATATTAGATACATATGTATTAGGTAAATACATAGATTAAATATATTTAAAATTTTAATTTTTAAATATAAGTAAATAAGTATATTTAATTTATCTTATGACTGAGTAGTGCAACTATCATTATCTTCGACTTCGATTAGATAATAATAATAATTTTATAAATTAAACTGACTATATAACTATATAGAATAAACATCAACTATTAACGATTAGATTAGATTTTATTAATAAAGAAAAAAGAATTGAATAGTATTGAAAGTTGTATGAAAAACTTTATTGAACAAAAATAAAACACAAAAATTAACCACCTTTGTGCGGCTATAAAACATTGCTTCGCGGACCACATGCACCCCGTGGGCCGCGGATTGCCAACCACTAGTCTATAATACTTTTATCGTTAATATAGAAAAAATACCGTTAGTTTATCTTCTATATATAATCTAGTCTATCTAATATTAAACTCTTACATGAACACTACAATTTAATTCATTTTTTCAAGTATTTTCAGATAGACACCAAAAATAACCTAATAAAAAATGTAAATTATATAATGAATATTCTGTTTAAGTATCATAAATACCTTAAGATTTTGATCAAACTATATTTTACCGTGAGATTATAAAAATCAAATAAATAGAAAGTAAATAAAATAGTAAATGTATTTATACCAATAGAATATAATGTAAGAATATAATTTACTAAAAATATTAAAATTTATTTAAGTACTAATCGAAGTTATAAATCTTACAAATTAAAATTAATAATGTTTTAGTAGACTTTTAACCAAAATACTTTCAGACTATTATATTGTAGTTATATAAGTGCATTATTTGAAATGAGTACATTACATTCCCGGTTTCTATTTTTTTAGTTAATTTAAAAATATTTTTTACCAATTACTGGTGATATTATAAAGTTATTACCTAAAATTGATAATAAATTCATGAGAAAATAGTTAATTTAAAACTCGTACTTTTTTTTTTTTTTTTGTGAACTTCTTAAATTGTATTCTTTTTAAATAATCAGTATATAAAGATTATTTAAAAAGAATACAATTTAGGAAGTTCACAATCAGTATATAAAGAATGAACCAAATTACTCTTTAAATAGATAATATACACAATTAATAAAATCGACATTCCTAAAATAACAATATAAATGTTTACTAACAATAAATTATATTATAACAGCGTTAAAAGTAAAATAAATTAAATATCCAATCATATAAAAATAAAAATTTTAGAAATACATTTATACTTTTATTGACTTTTAGAATGTCTTCATGTTCAAGATTTTTCTCCTTCACCTTTCCTAAATAAAAAAAAGGGCATCCGATTGATACAAAAAACAACAAAGGAACTTCATGTTGCCGCATATTATAAATCTACAAAACTTAGCATCATTTTATTTATTGATCTCCAGAAATATAACTATTTATCTCATTTCGAAGGTCAGGCGAAAATGTTCCATTCGCTGTTCCGGTCGAACGCGTGTTATTTCTCATTTTACCAACAGATACATATTTGGTACAGCCACAATCGCTTTATTCCACAAAATTACTTTACGCCCCCACCGCTTTCAGTGAAGTTGTAGTATACGAGGTAGTATAGTACACACAACATACCACCAATGGCTAAGAATGTTTCTCGGCAAATTATTACAACTGTCTCATATTTTTGCTTTATCTTTTATGAAACACTATATTACTACAACCACACACAGAATTACTGTTATTATTATTGTTTTCGATAAGGAAGCAATTTTGACCGGACTTAAAACCACCAGTCACCACCCAATTTTATACATCAAAGTACATGTATACACTGTTTATGAGAAAATACTGTTCTTTTAAATATAAATACTACTACATTTATTTACGTTCAAATATAAAACATCAAATCAATGTTCATGATAAAATAATCAAACAATTTTAATTAATATTAGTTACAAATAATTTCAAAAATAGTGATAGTTAAATATATTCATAATACAAATTTTCATTTAAATTTTCTATCTAACTTTCTATATTTTAAAAAACAATTTTATTTTTTCAGTTCCATACAAAAAAATGCACATAAATAATTCAAAGAGTTAAATTTAGAAATATTTATAATGCGTACTAGTTAATTTGTTTTTTTTTAAAAAACCTTTATAAATGAAAAATGCACATTTTTTTAATTTCAATGTTAAGATGCTAGTCATTTGTAGCAGCTTCATGAAAAAGGTCAAAACTATAATTTTTTTTTTCAACCTTCAAAAACCTATTCTATAAACTTCAGACCATTAGATAGCCTACTGAACAAACACTTTATTTTAGTAATTTTTCTAATTGCATTGTTTGACATTAACATGTTTAATAAAAGTACCTACTCCCTATTTTAAAAGCAGCCTATTCACAAAAACAGAGTAATGGTTGATTTACCAACTAAGAATTCAAAATAATTTTTGAAAATAGCAAGATACGTTGAATTTATAACTTTAAACATATATTAGACTTAGTAACTACATTTTCTTGAGTATTAATCAATAATTTATATTCTCAGAAGAATAGCATCTTTTAAAAATAATGGCAAATTTAAAAACTTAAGAAAATCTCTTAATTATAATATAGTTAATATATAAAAGTGCCATATGAGCTTTCCACCAACTCCGATGAATGATTTTCCAAAAAAAAAAACTAAAAAACCATAAGCACTCTCATAATAAAATCTCCCTTAATAAAATGTTTAATACTATTTTTTTAACTGTAAAGCACAAAATAAACAAAATATATTTTATTAATTAATTATTTATTAAATTTATGCTTTTTAGTTTTAGGTAGTATTTAACAGTTTTCTGAAGCCTTTTTGGATTGCAAATTTAACGAGTCGAATTCCTTATCTACATAAAATGTATTAAATATATATAATTATGTAATATATTATATATATATATATATATATATATATACATATATATATATATAATATCGTCTACAATTAATACATTTACCAAAATTTAACAGCTCACTTGTTTAACCTAATATTTATCTGACAGTTTTTCATGAAATTTTAAAAAAAAAGTATATTTTATGGACCTTGTGGACATTTTTTTCTTTCAGATTACACACTAAAACGGATTTATTGTAATTTACTTAAAAAATAAAGGATTAAAAAAATAAAACGTTAACTTGGAACCAATTATCAAATTATTGAATTATTTGACAAATTTTTGATTCTCAATACTAATTCAGTGCTTCTTCTCGACTTGCTATAAAAAAAAATAACTTTTTCCGAGACTTTTACGCTTCAAGTAGAATCTAAAAGTAAACATCATTTTTTATTGAATCAATATTTCTTAACGCTGGATTTAAACCAAATTGTTTTTGTGATTGTTTAATCTCTGAATCAAGTCAGATTATTTTATTGCTTTTGTAAAAGTATAAGAACCATAGAAAAATGTTTAAATGATTTTATTCCAAATATTACGAAAAATATGTTGTCTAAACCATGACTAGGAAATCTGTGAAATATTCAGTATAATGCTTAGACTACACACTATTAAAAATTCGAAGGCATACTAATCGACTAGACCTTTAAATAGATATATTTTAACACGATTTCATACCATCGAAAACAAAAATCTCTGACTGACTTTAATCTAGGAGTGGAACAAAATTCGAAAACTAACACCTAAGAAAACATAATTATTACATCAAGGAATTTATAGCTATATTATGATGAACCACGAGTAAATACACAATGGTCAGATAACATTTTTGGGTATTTTTGGAGGTATTTTTTGTTTACCGATACAAAATTCTAATAAATATTTTTTTTTTGATTTTCTGATCAATCTTATCTATTTTCATCATATTGTTTAAAGTTGTTTTACCACGAAAATATTCATTATAATTTGTTAAATATACTGAAAAATTAAATGTTACTGTTTAATTGGTTCAGTAACAATATTATTCATTTTTATTCGTTACTTGGACTGAAAATGAAATCTTATAGTAAAATGAATCTCTTTTTGTGGGTATAAAATATATCTTATTTTATATATATCGTGTTTTAAGATTTATCTACATCAGACTTGACTGCTACACTTTTTTTTATCGAATTTCGAAGTATTTATTGTTGTTAATTATCCTTTTACTATTCGTAAACATGTTTTAGTTTATTAGGTAAAAAATAACTAAAGAAATTCAAGTACCAAATATTGAACAATTTTGAAGTATAATTTGTGTATATACTAACTCAATAGTGCGTGGTGTAAATATTATTTCATAGTTCTTTAAAACACAAGTTAGAAATACCCAAGGAAATAACCAAATACCCATCACACCTACGTATATGTGATCGGGTTCGCGGTAGGTATGCACTCATACCTACGTACACAAACACACACACAAGTATAGATCGTAGTACGCGCGTATGGATCACAAACGACAACTATAAACTGCGAAGCCGACGCTTTCCGCAGACACGACATTCCTCGGTCCGACCGTTTACACATCCTAACACGGCTCGGCGTAGGCTGCAGTGAAGAATACTATAAGAGAAAGCGACCACAACGACAACGGTCGTCCACGTCCCACGGGCAATTAGAAATACGTTTTTTTTTTTTTTTTATTATTGTTATTATTATGTTATTGTATATTGTGTACGCAAGTATTATTATGTATTCGTCGATACGAGGTCGCTACACTCGATGGTAATGGAAATAATATATATATTATAATAGGTATATACATGTGTACACGCTGTATTATAATGTATATTTGAATAATACAAGTCTACACAATATGGGTGGGCCACGGACGAGACACGTTTTGAACCTAACCGAACACACATAACGTATGCACACGATAATATAGGTATAGGTCACGTACCTGGTTGCAGGACAGGGGTAGAACTTGTCCGTCCGAACTTTCCGACGACCACTGTCAGGAAGACGGCGACCGCGAACGCGGAGGCGAGCGCCGAGGACGGCGGGGCTGGCCGCATGTCGACGCGGCTTAAGAGCACCCTGTGGCGTAGGCAGCGTTTCACGTGCCCTTCGCCGTCATCGTTACACCGCTGCAGGCGCGGGCCGGGCGATTTTTTTCCGCGAACGCATGACGACGACGTTTTCGCAACGCGCTGGTGGACCGCCGTTCGGCTGGTGCAGGTGAACGTGTTTTCATGCCGTCGACCACCGCCGCGGCAGCAGCAGCACCGGCAGCGGTCGCGTGCCGCGCAACAACGACGGCTCGGGCCGGGCCATGTCGTTGCGTTGACGTTGTTTTCTGCGAGTACGCGACGCACACTGGCGAGCGACCGTTCACCGATGACAGGTGGACGGTGGCCGATCGGCACACACGTGTATCCCGCGGGCGGCGACGATCGGAGCTGATAATTATGTACAATCACACGGACTGGTGTCTTGCGACCGGTGCAACAGCGGCCGCGCTTTATTCTTTTTTTTTTTAATGGGTTCCAGTCGGTGGTGAACGCGTACAACTGAGGACTCGAACAAAATGTATGTGCGGACGGAGCAAAACGAGACAACCGCGAACGTGCGATACTCACAAACGGCACAGTGAGTGAACGGTGAACGACTGACTAGCGAGTGATGTGTCGGCGAACGGTGAACGGACGACGACGACAAAGGACGAAAGCGGCGGCGGTGGCGGTGACGGTCGCGCTCGCAACAGCTGAGGGAGAACCGACGATCGTTTCCCGGGCATTAGAGCGCAGCACACGCAACACGTGCACGTACGGATTTTCCCACTACCGCTGCCCCTGTGCACATTATTGTTCGAGCCACTAGCCGTGTACGACCCCCTCTTAGTCTCCGTCGACGACGTTACTTCATCGTGCTCCGTAGAACGAATGCCGCTTAGGTACATTCGTCTGAAGTCTGTGTTCATTACGTCTACAGAACGACGTTTCTCCGTTTCCCCTGTATTTACGGGTAAGCACACGGCTCGCCTACACGATCTCATTGAACTGGTAAACCAAAAAAATAAATATTTCCCCCTTTGTTGGACGATTTTCGATTGCCTACATTCATTTTAAATCCAACTTTTAACAAATTCGTATTTGGATTGAAATTTATAAAAATTGTAATTTGGATTTGGATTTTCTAAAGAGTATGTTGCTTCCCTTTGGAGAACGACTGCGATCCTCGAGAATTAGCCAAAGGTATCTCTGGTCATCGGAAACGAATCAAACCTATTGTACTGGGATCAGAACCAGTGGCGCAACTACATGGGTGCTAAAGCACCCCATATTTACTTTAAGCACCCCCAAAGTCACATATCTTTATAATTTCAAATATCTATAGTTTTATTTTTTATGATTTTATTATCATTTATTTATTTTTTACTTATTTTGCATACTGACTATTAAAATGTATTTCATCAAAATGGTATGTATCCCACCTTGGTATATTATATTATATTATCACCATTATAGTGATATAAGCACAGATATATTCAATACTATACTATAGTAGAGATATATTACTAATTTAAGTGTTATAAATATTCAGAGAGACCTAGCTAATGACATTATTTCAGAAGAAATACTAAATTAATTTGTAAATGTTGATTTATAATGTATTAAATGTTGAAAGAAAATTATGTTTGACACTTTAGAATGAACCGCAGCTCTCCTTTAATTTCATAATAAAACATAGATCATTTTATTTATAATAGTTAGGTTAAAATAATCCAGAAAATCACCTTTTATGATCATGATCATAATTATTCTAAGCTACAACATCCTGACTAGTGTTTTATTATAAGCCTTATAATAAAACACTAGCCAGGATATAATATAAGGTAATGCATTCAGTAATATTACATTAATTGGTCCTATTTTTAATTCATTACAATACTTTACACCTTTACAGGTCAATTACATATATATATAATTATTATTTATATTTTCAAGTGAGATTGGTTATGCTTAAAATAATAATAATAAATAAAAAAAAATTTTATTTTGTAAAAAATAAAAGACCAATCTATAAAAAAAAATACATATATATATATAAATTAGCAATGTTTATTTATTAATAATTATATTTGAGTAATTTATATCCTATGTTTTAAAATAAATTCTTGGTTACTTTTTAAAGGTACTAATTTTTTGAAAGTATCACCTAACATATTAGATCTACATGGAGGATTTATTTACCAAACAAATTAAAATAATCATTCAACAGCAACTGAAGAGCAGTTGCTTGTGTTATATTTTTTTATTTTTTTTTTATTTTTGGATAATTATTTAGGCAATTTAGTGATTTATTTTTATAGTTAAATAAACTTATAATTTAAGTTTGTTAATTGACTGGTCTGGCTCAGATTTGTTCATCGGCATTTAAAATTATATAGAATGTTCCATCTAAGTATTTTGGATTATTAACTATTGAGTTATTCTGGTTATCCATGTTTTTTAATAAATTATGTGTAATACGAAATACGTAACATAAACTGTTCGATGACTGACGGTGATCAAATGAGTCTTATCCCTAATATAGTAACGGTAAGTGGTAATTACTATAATCTAACATATCTATCATTATAAAAAAATAACTGCAAGTCTACAAATTCCATAGCTTTTTATTGAACAACTAAGAAAAATGTCATTTTAATAAATAAAGCATAATTTTTTTAATGTAACTAATATCTTTGAACATAAAAAAATACTAGATACAAGTCTAAAAAGTATCAAAATACAAGACATAAGATACTTTCAAATTATGATTCTCGATACAAGATACAAAATATAATTGTATCTAAGATACGTATCTTAAATATTTGATATTAAGATACTGTCCAGCTCTATATATATACGTAATATAATGGATATTCCATATTAAATAACGGTATATTATTGCATTCATATAAAATGATAAAAATATATAATAAAATACGTATTATGTAAAAATGTATAATTAAAGTCATATGTGGACATTTTGTTGAATTTTTGAGGGGGCTATAATAATAAAATGTAAAATAACCCGCAAGGGCTTCGCCCTCGGGCGGCTTCCGTTTCACCCAAATACCCGTTTCAACCAAAGCCATTTTAGTCAATGGCAATTTAAACAATGGTTTTTAAATAATATAATACATATACTATTATTAATTTTTATTATTATTATTTTAACTATTTTTAAAAAAAGTCATAGGAAAAATTTGTATAAAATTCATACTTAAATTTAATTATACATTATTACAGTTATAGTACAAAAAAAAGCATTGAACAATTTAACAATTTACACTATATTATTTTTTACTTAAATTCACTAAAAGTCATAAAAAATACATTTACAAAAATTATCATTTTTTAAAATTTCTACACATGCTTTTTATAAACTCATACCTCGTAATTTCGCCAGATCTATATAAAAGTATACATTTTTCATTATATTCCTGTCTTTCCTTCATTTTTTTATCTTTAGTTTTTTTTAGGAATTTCAACACTATTAATTTTGATATAAGTTTCTGTCTGGATGTCATTGCGTGTAATATGTAACCAGATTATTATTGACGGAGAATTTGAATAAAAATTATTATAGAAATATGAGTAAAATGATTCACACGCATTTGTTGTGAGCTGTATACTCACTGAATTGCATGCCCATTATGTTGGACTAAAAACACTGCCCTCAGAAATATAGTTTTATACTAAATAGTCACAATACTTAACTAATTTTTCGTCAGTTGGGACAGCTCAGACATTAAATCTTAAGTAAAGCAATCGGATACTTCAGAAAATTCTAAAAATATTAAGCCAAAAGTATGTTGAATCCAATTACCAATACTTGTATTATTTTGGTATTCAGTTGCTAAAACATATTTTTGAACCTTCCTATACCAAGCTTGTATAAGGTGAAAACGACAACCAAATATTTTTGAGGAAAGCCAAACTTTATTGACTACTAAATGAATTGCTTTTTCAAAGTCAATAGTAAAAAATTTTGGTATAAAAACTAAGCCTAATTCTTTGCATTTGTTTACTATTGATTTAAAAGTATACATAGTGCCGGCACTAAGTATACACATATGTTTCGGATTTTTTGTCCGGAAGTAAAATAAATATTAATGGTATATAATGACGATTTTTAATACCATGTACACGAAAAATTTGCTCAAAGAATTTGGCACAAAATTGAAACGTTCCGTCCATATAAATTGTTTCCACAACATTACATAAAAATGTAAGGTTAGTTTTACAAGAAAAAATGATTATATTTTTTATTTTATCAACACACATTACCAACACAAATGGTTCATTTTTTGTATTAAAAATGGTTTCTGGTATATTTAGACCCATATGTGCTTATGTTATAGTACTTGGAATAAGAGATATAATAAGATATTGGAATAATAAGATAATACTTCTGTAAATTGATTTTCTAAGCACATTAAAATCATTTGAAATTAAACCATTAGTAAGTTGATTGTTTTCCGATAACTCTTTTAAAATTATGTGTTTTGGCTGTATGTAAAGATTTTCAGTAGCTTTTCTTTTACATGAAACACTTACTATTTGACGATTTATTTCTGTATCACTACATAGATTATGATTATGTCGAAGCTGGTCAGTGTTTAAAATATCCTCTTCATTCACCACTTTAGAATAGGACGTGTGTAATGTAGCTGAATACCTACATTTTACGCAACGCTAACGACTTTTATCAGTACTTACATTTTTTGAAGCAAAATTGTATTTATATTTACTATAAGTCACTTTGTCTTTATCTCGCTTATTTTTTTATAAATATAGCCATCCTTGAATATTAATTTAAACAAATATTTTGAACTAAAACTGCTCACAACACGAAACTCGATAACAAACGATTTTTAACGACATGTAGTCATGTAGGTAACTTTTATATTAATGTGGAAACTTCTTCAGTCGGCTAACATGTCATTAATTTGATGTTATCGGAAGATGGTATGTGATCTAAGAGTCTACGAGTATAGTATAATGAAATATACTGTGTTTGATAACGATAAATAATAATACGTAACAGCCAATAGGTACTATATAAAGGCGATAATTTGAGTGGAAAGGCATAGCTGTGATAAAATTACTATCAACGATAACTTGTCGTGCTCTATAATTTTGCCGAAAGTCTTTTATTAATCATAACAATTTTTGTTCATTTTATGAAAAATGCTCTAAAAAATAAGAAAATGCACTAAAATCATCAAAAAATGCAAAAAAAGAATTACTGTAAAATAATCAGTATCAATATCATCCAAAACACTAACTGTAATAATGTATAATTAAATATGTATTTTATAAAAAATTTTCCTATGACTTTTTAAAAATAATAATAATAATAAAAATTAATAATAGTATATGTATATGATTTAAAAACCATTGTCAACTTAATTTGAAAACGATTAAAATGACTTTGGTCGAAACGGGTATCTGGGTGAAACGGGCTGCGCCCTCGCCCCCAAACCCACGGACGTATTTACAGGGGGGCGAATGGGTACCATCACCCCGAGCGACACATTATTTTGGAATCAAAGAGTAGCAGCATTTTTTTTGTAACTATTATCTATTTTCATTTGTCAATCCTTAATTTTTAATATTTTCATATTTTGTGCAGTGATTTTATTACCTTTCTTGAAAATTG